ATAAATCATGCATGAAATATAGTAACTCGAAAAAAAGCATTCAAAATACAGTACAGAACTCATTGGACCCCCTTTATCATAATTCGACTTGTATTCAAGTCACACTCTGGATTCCCTATTAGAAAAAATGGTTGAAGATTTCTCAAACTCGAAGGTTTTGAGCCTCAAACCTCCATAACTCGAATTTTCTGGAGGCCTTTTTTGCTATTATTTTATTGGCACAGCAACGAGAAATGCTGCAAAAAACGTAACTTCAAGTGCTTTGAAGGGAAGTTCAGTCTTCAAGTTCAGTATCCTGTGTCAACCAATTTAAAACACAATTCAAGCCCCAACATACATATCGCCAATTGCTATTTCCTGTGATTCGTCTTTTTTTTCCGTCCAGCAGCAACAAAATAGGCTCGTTTCCGTAACTCGAAACCTCCCTAACTCGAATTTTTCTTCTGGTCCCTTGAAGTTTGACTTGAAGAGGTTCGAATATATTACTGATTATTCGAAAAGGAAGTGGCCTCAGTATACAACATAATAGTTTGTCCATGTTTACGGCCGAAAAGTATACTGCCATACGCTTTAAAAGACACGTCTTTTAATCTCTCAAGGCTTAGCTTAAAAAGGCCTGAAACCTCGAAAAGCTGTCGATTAATTTAATTATTTAATGTGATACTTCGATAAAATTCAGAACTCTCAAGTTATTTTATGATGCGATTTCAAAAAAAAAATCTGATCTGATTTTTTAGCGATCGAGACAAATTTAGCAACAATTTTGCGCGACATCCACCGTCTATAACTTCTTCCTTTAGCTGAAAACATATATCATCGTTACTTTTCATTGCCTAAAAATCATTTCATTGCATGAAAATTATCCACGTTTTTACTGGTAAATATATAAATTATTTAAAAAAGTTTTTCCAAAATACATTTCTCGCTTTCGATTGATTTCAGCCAATGGTAAAAAATCAATATTTTTTGAATGTCGCTTAATTTTCGTTGTCTTCTTTTCGAAGTCAAAATCAGTTCAAGTCATTTGATGCAAAAGCCAGTCCGAAATTCCTGATTGAAAATTCGGGATAGATAGAGCCGAGCTTATGGAGAAAAGGATAAAATTTGTTCAAGTCAGTCAGAATAAAATTTACAAAATTATGCTTTACTTTCCTTTAGCTCTAGAACTACTGTATGGACCGACGAGAACGCCTTGGTCAACTGCACCTTCTAGAACCCGTCGACCCGTAACCCAAAGAGTCGGTACCTCTCGGTCACCAGCTCATAGTCGCCAAAGTTGTAGCCGAAAAACGGGCGCATGGCAAAGGGGTCATGCATGATGACCTTGCCTTTGTACTCGGCCGCGGCCGTGGCCTCGGATCGCATGGCGGCGCCGACGAACACGCCGTGTTGCCAGTTGAACGCCTCGTACACGAGAGGGACGCCCTCGGGTCGCCGGCCGCCGAACAAAATGGCGTCGATTGGCACTCCTTCGGGAGACTCCCATGCCGGGTCGATGATCGGACACTGGTTCGCCGGTGTGCAGAACCTGAAACACAAACAAAACAAAAAAATCAAGTGCTGTAACCTTCCTCGAAAAATCCCAGAAGGGAAAATTATATTTTTTTTTATTTCCCCTAAGAGCATAATTCAGAAAAATTCTGGACAGAGTTTTTTTTTATTACTTACAAAGAAAAATAATGTATTCAGTCTATTATCGAGAAAAATCATTTAAAGCGCAAATGTCTAATTGTAGGGCGAATATACTTTTTTTCAGGGTATGAAATTAAATTCTCAATTTCATTCAAAACTTTTCTTCATTTCGAGGCAAAAAATGCGTGCATTAATTCGAAAAAAATCTCTGATGAATTTTTTAAAGGGTGGAAACGTGTGAGATATTTTATTCAATTCATAGAAAAGTATATCGTGTATTTTTAAATCTTTGTTCGAATCTTTGCCACCGGCTGATTTCTCTGTTTTCTTTCTTTTCTCTGTCCATGGCCAAATTTGGCCAACTGAATACTGTATATAACTTTATAAACTCAACAACAATTTCAGTTAAACTTCAGATAGGATCTGATATACATACGGAAATCTTTTTTTTTATTCGCAAGCATGCGAGCGCGTCTTGAGAGATAATAATAAATTACTGAAGACAAACATTTATTTCCTGATGTCCAAGCTGGATTTCGCAATGCAAGATCAACAATTGACAATGTTTTCATCATGGAACTGATACGTCGAACTAAAAATTACAAGGAGGGAATACTTATAGCACTCCTTGACCTTGCTAAAGCTTTCCCATCTGTCGATAGGCGAATTTTATTTCGCAAACTATCACTTCTAGGGGTATCCTTCAAATTCTTGAAAGCACTTGCAAGTTTGTATGATGAAACTGAGTTCCAAGTTATCACTGGTAACAAGAAAGCCTCAGCCTTTAAAGCAAATCATGGATTAAAAGAGGGTTCCTGCTTATCACCATTACTGTTTTTATTCTTCGTAAGTGATCTACCCAAATTTATTATGGTTGGCTCAGGAGCTATAGACATTGGTACCTGTCAAGTCAATGTTCTGCAATTTGCAGATGATACGGTTGTACTAGCAACCTCAAAGTTATCACTCCAGAATATCCTAAATCGTTTTGTTGACTACTGCAACATTAATAGACTTAAAATTAATGCTAATAAGACAGAGATTTTATCGTCAAAAGCAGTAAGAAATCCAAATAAATCAGGAATGACATGGCAGATTGATGGGGTGAACTGCACACTCTCAAAAGTAGGGATTTATCTAGGAGTTCGCTTGCAAAATGGTTGTCACGCAACAAGTCACATCATGAACAATTTCAATGTAGGACGTTCCCGATTAATAACATTATGTAATGTTCTAAGTAAATTGGAGTTAAAAGACACTAAATTGGCATTGAGGTTTTTTGACTCCTTGGTATGGGCAGCTGCACTATACGGGCTAGAAATATGGCCAGAACATCGCCTTCTCAGAAAAATGGATACACTACAGAACCTATTTTACAGATGGTTTTTTCACATTCCAAAATCATGCAGCATTAGAGCTCTTAGATTATTATTGGGACGTTGTTGTGCAGTGTGTAATGTAAACAGTCGCTTTTTGATGTTCTTACATAGGTTGGCAATAGCCAATAATCAACTTTCAACAGAAGCAATTAAAGAATTCTGGAAACTAACAGTATCTGAGAATAAACTCCCCACTATGGTAAACTTGAAATTACAGGGATTCAAGACATTCTATGTTAAATTGTCTGCAATGTACCCAGAATTGAGTGCAATAATATCAGCAGAAGATTTTGTCCAGTTTCTTAAGTGTAACATCAATAAAGGCAGAGAAAAGATTGTAATCACTCAATTTTGTCAT